AGCTCAAGCCCCAGCTCTGCGCCTAGCGAAAGAGTATGTGAAGGAAAACGGTTTTCTGGGAGGGAGATGTGATTGCAAGGGCACTTCTGGGAAGGCGCAGAAGATTTCTGAGCCTGTTGCATATGAGCTGACGGCACTGCTAGAGAGTAAGAAGTGCTGTGGATGAGTAGCTCAGCACTCCAGGAGACCTCAGCATCTCTTGCAGTAGATGAGCTTGATGCAGTTATAGGCTGGAGATGGCAAGTAAGGCAAAGCTGACTCTGCACGGAAGGTTGCTTTGTGCAGTCCTTGCTCAGCTTCTCTTTGAGGTGCCAAAGTTTCCCAACTGGCTGTGGTATGTATTTTGTGTGCCCAGAGACCTTGGCTTGTTGTGATGCTGTGTCTGTTTGGGAACATAAAAAAAAAAAAGTTGTGTGGAGGAGAGGAGTCTGTGTTGGGAACCATTTGATTAAATAACACTAAGCTTGGCTTCCTCTGGCCCTCAGCCCTCAATTAGCACAGCAGTGATCAGGCCTCTCTGAGTATTGCTGTGGATTTTAGGTGTGGGGCTCACCCTAAACTCTCATGCTACGGGGTTTGCATCCGTAGCAAGGTACAGAAGTGGGTGCTCTGGTAGCAAGCAGCTCTTTCTGGATTTGTATTTATCTCTGTATCTGTTGTAAAAGCGCGAGGCACTCCTCTATTTTCGATGATGAGCAGTGTCTAGCTGATGGCTGGTCTAGTACTGTGAAAGGCTACATTTCTAGCTTAGCAGGAAAGCGTGAAACTGTGAAACCCATGTGCACAATGGCTGCTGCAGCGGGCTGGGTTTGACCCGAATGTGTCCAACCGCAACTTTGAGCACAGGGGTGTGGCTTCAATTTTTTTTCCCCCTCCTTATTTGCTTTTTTGCTAACCCTTTCCAACCACTTCAGAAGACTCAAAATCATTTTTCTAGAAAACAGCAGGGCCCAAAGCCAGTATTTTGATTATATAAACAGGCTTCTTGCCTTGTGCTTTGCTTCAGTATAGCACTAGCTTGTTTTCCTGGAAATCCTCTAAAAAAAGCCAATTTCAATATTGGTGTAGCTATGTCACAGAAGGCAAATATAAAACTGAAATGGCCTCTCAGCTGCAGAGTGTGGCAAGACCTGAAATATCAAAATCCTGTGTAGCAGCAAGTATTCAGGCAAAACTGGTCCTGACTTACCTTTTTGAGAGAAAAAAAATTGGCGATAGTTGCTGTCTTTGTGTCACGTAGTCCCCTCCTCCATTTCCTTGGATGCCGTGTAAAAGTTAATCCATTACTATTTGTAAAGGACTGCGTTTCTCTGCTGCCAAATGCCACTGAGGTACCCTGCGCTTCTGTTGGATCTGCTTGTTTGCTTTCCTTGTTGGCAGCGTGCTGTGACATGGCCTCCTTCAGGGTGGTGGTAATAATAATTTAAAACAAAAACCAAACTAAACACGCAAAGCAACCCTCCAACCACGCAGAATACAAAGCGACAAAATGTAGAGCCTTACCAATCTTGTCTACAAGGAAAACTGGGTTTCCAATAGGTCACTGGTCTGTGCAAGAGGGGGTTTTTTCCTCATGTCATAGGTTTTCTGAGTCTGAAATGTTGCGTGAAAATGCTTTTCATGTCCTGATACGCTTTTCTGTGTTCTCGTAGTTTGCTACAATGCCTGAAATATATTGGGCTGCCAGCTCTGCTTTGCAGGACATAAGGAGGATCCTCACTCTGATCCTCTCCAAACAGGCAATTAAGTATTGAGACTTTCTGTTCATTTTTCTTCCTGCCCCTCCCCATTCTTTTAAACTCCTAAATGCGAGGAAAGCCTCGGTTTGCTGAAGTGCGGGGTGAATGAATGCAGTGACCGACATGGTGCTGAACTCCTCCTGAGACACTTCTGCGAGGAAACAGCCTCCGAACGCAGGCTCCGGGAAGGCTGCCAGTTTCCATTCCCATCGGAGCTGGCGTGTGGGTGGAGAGGCAGTTTGCTGCAGCCACTTCACCTTGCTCGCCAGGCAGCAGAGGGTCTGCCCTGCGGTAGACAGTCCCAAAAAATCTGAGTTTCTGTTGGGAGACAGCAGGCTTCCTTAGCATTTTGGTTTGCTCCAACTCACTCCTCGGGGCTGTTCTGGGTGCTTATTTGCTTGCAGTTACTCTCCTCCTTGCACGTTGTGTTGCACGAGTGTGTTGGGTCCCTTTTTGCTGGGCTTGATGGCTGTGCCTGTTTCAGGGGGGTTCTTGTTGCTTTGCAGCTCCCGTGCGGGGCAGGGCTGGCTGTCCTGCACTGTGCGGGGTGAGGCTTCCCCTTGATGTGGGTGAAGAGGTTGAGCAACACAGCCCAGAAGGCTCTGATTCAGCCTTCCCCTTGCTCTTGCTAATTATTGTGACCCTTCTAATTTTCTTGTCCGCAGCATCTTCTCTTTAATTTTTTATTTTTTTTTAAATCTTTAAAACAGAATTTGAAGAGTTGCAGTCCAGCTGTCTTCCTAACCTGCCATGCTTAGGGTGGGGACTACATGAGAGACAGAAGCAGGCTGGTAGAAATTTAGGAAACTGATGTTTAATTACAATTCTCTCCCTAGAGGGCAGACCCTCTGTGTGATTGGAGTATGTGATATGTGGGACTGAGGCTGTACTGGGTTTGCATCGGCAAAAAATATCTGGGCTTTAATTTTCAGGGCAACGATGGTTGCTTATTGCAATGTAGAAAGCTTTATTGTGTTTGGATTTTGGGTGCATGTGCCAATGAATTGATGGGGTAGGGTTTTTAGTGAGGGGATGGAAGGGGCTATGGGTGGGAAAAGCTGCCATTCTGATGATAACATTCTCTATGAGGTCCAGGGAAAATGTGTATGTGTTGAAATAAATTATTCTCTCCTGTGATGCATTGTGCTTTGTCCTAATAGAGCTAGCTGGTCAATGGAGTACCTCCCAAACATTTCCTACTGCTGGGATGGAAGTCCCAACGCTGCCTGAAATGAGCACAGTGTGTTAACAAAGCATAACTCTGTTCATTTTTATCTTCTTGGTTTTGAGTTGATCCTTGTTTTCCAAATGTTGCATTTTGAGATGAAACTCTATGGAGTTTTAACTTCCTGGGAAGTGGACATGGGAAAACTCGGTGATGTTTGAATGCAGTCAGAAGGGGGAATATGCGCTGCTGCCGCATGACTTCTTTTATGAAATTTGGGTTTTAAGCTGCAGCAAATTCACTGTATTTGGCAGGGAGAAATAAACCAGCTTTCGCTTGTTCTGTCTTAGAACCTACATGTGTGTGGCAGTGGGTCAGTCTGTACGACTTCATTAAAAGAAGATTATTTCCTTGATTAAACAGTGGCTTTTTATTCTGTCTCAGTAGCTGAGTCCTTAAATGGAGTTGCTTTTAACAAACCTGATGTGAGGAAATGTGAAGGACCGGTACCTGAAAAGTAAAGCTTCTTTAAGATTCTCCAGCTGGATGCAAAAGACCCCACTGAACAGTCCTAAAGATGGAATTTGCTTCAAAAGCTAAATTAATCATCTTAATGGTACACAGCTAATGAAATATATGGCACTGTACCATAATACTGACTGATGAAGGTACACACTGAACAAGTCTGGGTTTGTTCTTCTTTCTCAGAATCTCATGAATGGGCTGGCATCGATGCTTAATTCACTGATCAGTGGAGGGGGGCAGCTGGAGAATGAGGATGGCAGAGGGTGTGTGTGTTTAAATTACTGGGGTGTGATACAAAAGTTTAATATTAGCACAAGGCACAGGAAAATTTAAATCACTCCTCTGGGAGCACATGTTGAATTGATGGTAGTGCTGAGAATTGAATTTAGGTCTTAATTTGTTCGTGTCTTATTTTCCCACGTTACTATCCTTTCAATGTTTTCTTCCTATGTTGTAACATGTATGAGAATACTTGGTTGCTTTCCTTAAGAGAGGCTTTGTTGGTAAGTGTGAACTTTACAATTAACTGGCAACAAATGTGTTGGCAGTTCCCTTATAATTTTTGTGGGTTCAAAATGAAATTAAGTGTGGGTTCTTGGCAAACTCCAGCTGGCTGAATTGGTGATCTTGGTGATTTGCTGAGAGTACTGCTGCCAGCCGGACGCCACGTTGGGGCATGGAGCCAGAGCAACGTGGAGAGAGCTGTGTCCTAGGTCCTGTGTGTGCGTTGGCTTTTTTTAAACACCACGGCTCTGGCTTGTTTTGAAATACTGTCCTATTTGTTAGTAGCAGTGCCTACAGACATCTGTGTCTCTGTTGTTGAAATGATTGCAAAGGAAGATACCTCTGGGTTGAGCCTTTCCTGCTGCTGGCGCGCATGCTGTTTTGCTCCCGTGTGTCATCGTTTTACGTAGGGGCATCCCTTCAAAGGGAGGGAGGGAGTGTCACTGCTCCTTATTCTGTGCCTTGCCTGGGATTTTAACAAGCAATACTGAGGTAATCCCTTCTTGGCAGCCGTAGTCCTCAGGCATCGATCTTATCTTGCTGTGAAAGCTGAAGAGATTGGGCTCTTGTCAGTGCTGGGATGGAGGAGATCTGAGGAGCTGTGAGGCGCGGCTGAAAATGACTCAAAGGGAAAAGCATCCATCCTGAGCTGGTCCCTCCATCCCGGCTGGCCAGCTACAGCAAAACCAGCGCGGTGCTCTGATCTCCAGCCCGGGCAAGGTCTCTGCATCGCAGCCGCCCTGCTGCTGAGGTGGGCTGAGCCCTTCTTCTGTATTTTCCCATAGTGCAGGCAGCCTACTGCTTCAGTTTGTGCTGCCCTTGTTTAGGGATTTCCTGTCATGCTCCTGTTGAGGTGAAGGCAAACACATTTATCTTGCATCCCAAATAAAATTTCGGGTCCTAAAGACAGTAATTAATGTTCTGGATATTGCACAATTCTGTGGGCATGACAACCCTGTTCCAAATAATGTGGCTATTTCTTCTTTTTTTAAAATTTATTTTATGGAAACAAAATAACTTGATGCATTTTGGGGGTTTTTTGTTTTGTTTTTTTCTTTTTTTCCTAGCATCCAGCGAGCTGCACTGGTGGTTCTGGAAAATTACTACAAAGATTTCACAGTCTACAACCCAGCCTTGTTAACAGCCTCCAAATCCCGTGCAGCCAAGCACATGGCTGGCCTGAAAGTCTACAATGTTGATGGTAGGTGAGGTGAAATGTAGTCTCTGAGGCTGGGTGGGATGGGGAAGGGCCGGGTTGGCTTTATGCTTTGTTATACACACATTCTCACCTTTTTGCTTTGCCAAATCCTTGTCTCTTGCTGGAAATCTTCGTAACAGTACTGAGTTTGCTGATTCCAGATGACTTTACAGATGCGTTTAGCCTACAATAAGGCTTTTGTCTTTGCCAAGTGAAACGGCCAAGTTTTGGGTCAGGCTTAATTATTATGTGGCTTGACAAGTGCTGCTTTTCAGCACCACTTCTTGTTTTAGGCAGCCTCTGCTTTTTGTCACCCTTGGGTCATCTCCTTGGTTGTGCTAGTACAATAAACACAACTTTTAACCTAAATGAATTCCTTGGTCATTTACCATGCCACTTTCACAGGCAGCCTTCAGGAAAGTGAAGGAGATAGATACCAATGTGTGAAGAAGCAGCAGCCTTAGCAGTAAATTAGCTATGCCTGGCTTATGCATGGCCGTGCTCCCAAGTCATCGTGATGCTAAGCAGTTCATGGAAATTCAGAGATAGATAACTATCCCTCTTGAGCTTTGCCATGCTACAAATCTGTTTCAAACTTTTGGGCCTTAAAGAGGCCTGTAGGAGGATGGATGGGTGGGTGGATCCCTGCGGACGCTCAAAGCAGTGAAAACTGGACTTAATCATTTGACACTTTTAAACCCTATCAGTGAAAGCTAGGCTTGATAAGCAGGGGGTGCCCCGCTGTGTAGGGGAGCTTTTATGGTGAAGAATGGATGAAGTCCTGTGACAAGATGTAAGGCACATTCAGCCCTTGAATTCAGCAGTATTGAAAGGTTTTGAGAGCTGGAAGGGAGAAGGGACTAAAGGCACTTAGCTGGGCAAGGTGGCTCTGTGTGCAGGGTGTGGAAACCAAAATATGGAGAATATCTGTCACATGGGAAAACATGAGACATGATTGTTTTACCTTCAACAAAGCCTCAGTGCCTTATGGGGGTTTTAATTTTTTTTTTTTTTGCATTTTTGATGACTTCAGAAGTTTCAAAGACCTTATTCTAAATGTTTCCCTAAACCTGATGCAGCACTTGTAAGTCTGTGAAATTAATTGGAGGTTTAGATCCTTACAGCGAGATGTCCCCATCCTGGCAGAGGAATGGTGAAGGGAAGCAGGTGGGAGAGAGGGGTCAGGCTTGCTCATTGTGTGTCCCCTGCTGCCTGGACTGAAGAAGCTCTCAGGTGGGAGAGAACGAGTTGAGTTAATGAGGGGAAGCACTTTTCTAGAGGTGAAATCTTTAATTTCAACTGCTCACTCTCAATGAGGCCTGGTGTATGGAAATCACGGGCTACCTGATCCCACAGGTGTCTGCATACTGTTCAAACCGCATGGCCCGCCAGGCTGGCTGTGGGAATGTGCCTTTCTGATTACTAGCTGGATTGTCTTCTCCTGTGCAGCAGCATCTCTTCAGGAGGTGGCAGGGTCTCTGTTCCTGCAGCACCCACTGGGATGTTGGGACTCTTGAGCTCAGAGGAGAAACTGCTGGTCTGGTAGTGTTAGTAGCTTAGGAGCTGCTAGTGCACAAAACTCTGGAAGAGAAGGAACCAGAAACAAGCTCCAGATGTGGCTGGCAGGCCTTTCCAAGTGTTAAGCTCATGAGCCTGCCAGGGCCCAAAAACCTGTGCCTTCCCTTCTGGGGCAGTACTGGTTCCCTGGGCTGTTCCTTGTGCAATGCCGCTGCCTTTGCAGACATGGAAATCTTAGGCTTAGAGGCATGTCCTTTAAGAAGATTCCCATCCATTTGATGGAGAGTGTAATTCTGGCTGCAGCTTACCTTGGCATCCTGGCAGTCTCTTACACCCTCCATGTGAAAAGACCGTAATGCTATTAAGGCAGCCTAATTTGTTGGCAGCTTTTGTATTTGATACTGGAGCAGCCAGGAAGGAAAAACATCTTGCTGTAATCTCTCTTATACAGAGTGGGGAGCTTCACCTTCAAAACCAGGATTTGCATTGCCAGGCATAGGCAACGAGGCAAATTACAGTTCTAATCCAAATTTGGGAACTAGTGTCTCCCTTGAGTCGTATCTCCATTTCAAGGCTGTCACACAGTCTGAAGTGTTTAGACTCTTAAGAAGCCATCTGTGTGAACGCTCATCATTCCCACTGCTGAGCTTCAGGCTTCTGTCTTAGAATGTGGTTTCTGCTTTTTAGGAAAGAATTAAAAAGTTGTCCTTGCACGAGCAGAACAATTTTAAGCATGTCTGTGCAACTGATTGGCCTTAACCACTGTGAGTTGAAAGTGTGGGCTTTCAGAGCAGTTAATCAGAAAAGCAGCTCTTGGCGGTTTGGAGACTGTCCTAGATTTCTCATTTTTCCCTCTGGGTAGACCCACCTCTATCCTCTATCTAGATAGAAGGCTAGAAGGGTTGGTAGACTCTTCTATGGCAACAGTTTCCTCCTCCCCCTGCCCAAACAGCCAGAGCTGTTAGCTTCATGGGGGAACTGCAGAACCTGCTGCTGTGTTTTAAGGTTGCTAGTTAAGGTCCTGTAGTAGTCAGCTCTGTCACTTGTCCAGGTGCTGGAGCAGACTGCAGCTTCCCTGTTCCTGTAGCTATGTAGGATCTGTTAACAGCAACAGAAGCACTAACTGCAGGTGCTGCTCCGGGAGCCTTGAGGAGCTATTATGCATATAGACCCCGAGCCTACCCTGTTGCAGGACTGCTGCTCTGACAGCATCTGCCCTTCTAGAAAGCCCTATGCTTCGTCTAGAGGTGACCCTGCTGCCTCTGCTTCCTGTTTATCCTCCCTGCATGTAACTGTGTGGAGTTTGGCTTTCGTTCACTCATCTCCATGTCTCTTGATGTTCTTGTTTATCTTTTTCCTCTTTGCAACTCCCCACTTCTTGGTGCTCTCACATTGTCTTGTTGCTGAAATGTGGTGTGTTCCAGCTGCCCTTGCCTTCAAACTGAAAACATATATAATGGGTGGTAAGTTGCATCCTTGGCATGTGCACTTCACCTCTGCCTTTGCGTATGTTGCGTGAGATCCTTCATCCCAACTAACCTCCCTTGTCCACAAGCCAAAGCCCCCTCTGCAAGCCTGTGCTGTCTAGCAGGGTTTCTGTCGGAGCTCCTGAGGACCGGGGAAGGGTTTATAGCCTCGGTTGCGAAGGCTGGAGCCCCAGAGCACTTATGACAGATGCAGTGGGGTGCTGGTCTGTCCCAACCCCAGTCCTGTGGCAGTAATGTCACCTTTCTTGTCTCCTTTTTGCTCTTCTCGCCTCCCAAAGGCCCAGGTAACAATGCCTCAGGGCAATCCCGTGCCATGATTGCAGCCGCGGCCCGTCGCAGGGACTCCAGTCACAACGAGCTCTACTACGAAGAGGCTGACCATGAGCGCCGAGTGAAAAAACGCCGTGCGAGGTAAAGCTGTCCTGGGTGCCGCTCCTCAGCGCCATGAGGTTCGGGCGCTTGGGGCTTGCTGAGCCCGACGAAGCGGGGTACACCCGTGACTACGGGCTGGGGGTTGGCTGTAAATCTGTCACAGTGAAGAAGCGTGCGAAACCCAGATGCACAAGGGACGGTGACAGCTTGCAACTGGAATTATCTGAAGAACATGCATAAAGCAGAGCTCATGTTTATTATGCCAGATAAGCTAATGCAATGTCATGGATTAGGAAACAGTCCAGTGCTTGACAAATCTGTAGTTACTTGCTGTAGGAAATCCCATTATTTCCCCCATGGCCAGGCTTGTCGTCTCAGCTCGAGTAATCCAGGGACAGGATCGGTAGAGCACTTGGTGTTGTCTGTTCATGGGCAAGGAGAATGTGTTTGCAGACTACTAAAAGGGGCAGTTTGCCCTTTTCAGTGAGTTGGGGAGGAAAGACGTGACCAGAACTGATTGTGTCTTATTTTGGAACATAGATGTGTTTTCCGCCCGTCACACTTAGGCTGCAGAGTTGGTGCTTTGTTGAGGTGACCTGAGATAGTGCCTCTATTTGCTCTGGAGCATAATTACAGTTTGTAGTTAACATACCAATCGGTTTGAAGCAAGCTGCTTAGAGTCAGGCACCCCTCAACTGAGCAATGTTTGGAAAGAATGTCCCGTAACTGGAAGGAGCTGGCTTGTTTTGTGTTTTCTTTTGGCAGTTTTTATTTTATTAGGAAAGTGCTGGCACAGTGTCCCCCCCACCAGCCTGCTTTGGTCTGACCTGTGCTCCATAGCTGCTGTCTTTTGGGCTTTCTTCCAGCCTCAGAGCAACAGGAACTTAAACTTTCCTTTCCGTGCAGCATAGCATCCAAACTCGGGCACGTCTCCCTTGCTTGCTGAGCTTGGTTAGAACAGCTGCTTAGTCAGAGAAAAACCATCAGTCACTAGAAGATCAGGCCAGATGTTTCAAAGAAAGAAGATCAGAGCTGCAACAAATAGACATGAGGAGATGAGAGTCTGATTTCCATCCCCCCACCTCCCCCCAAGTCAAACTAAACAAAATGGGCAGAGGTCAGGGCTTCTCGTGCTGTTCCTCATATATAGTCTGAAAGCTGTATGCTATACCTCTGCTTGTCATGAGGCAGCTTCCCCAGGCTTTAAGATGCTTTGGATTTTGAGGGCGGTGTGGACAGTAGTTGGTGAGTGGAAATCTAGTGTGAAACAAGTCCTGTCTGGAGGGGCAGAAGAGTTTTGTCGGGTGACTCTTCCATTATCATTACTTTTTCCCCACTTACTGCAGTGTAGCCCCTCACTTGTTCCTTAGTACTGGGCTAACCTGCACGTGTTGTATGGCATCTGTTTGCCTTTTTATGGTGTGGTCTTAGTGTTTGCTCACCTGTGCCAACACAGGAATGGCTTGCCGAGGATGTCTCTAGCTGCAGCATTAGGAGAGAAGACGGGAGCCCCGTCACTGTTCAGTGGAGGCATGCAGAGCAATCATTTGGCAGTGCAAGGTCTGTACCTGGTTGATGTACATCAGAGCAGACTGCAGCTTGTGATCAGAGAGTCACGGAGCAGTCTGTGTCCTGGGTCATGCTAGTTTATAGCCAGCCTTTTCCTGACTGCTTGCCTGTCCTTACAATTCACGCTGCGGTACTGTATGCTGGAACCGTTGTTTTCAAAGACATACATTAAATGCAAGGGCAGCTGTGTCTTGTTTGAGTCGTGTAGCTGATGTTTATGCTGTGTTGGCAGAACCAAGTACAACACTCTGGCTTTTAAAGTCTTAATCCTGGTTTATGACCCTCAGTTGCTGGATGGCTTGGGCAAGGAAAGAAAAGCTGCCGTCTACCTCTCAGACTGTCAGTAGAGAAGAGTTTACGTAAATTGTCTGATGGCAGGCAGTGAGTCAGTGGCAGAGATGCAAATAGGAGCTTGTAAATTCTGACTCCCAGGCTCTGCCTTAACCACAGACCCATCCTACCTCTCTTGTGACTCTTACTGTCCTGGGTTTTCCTTCTGCAGACTTGTGGTTGCAGTAGAGGAGGCTTTCACTCACATCAAACGCCTCCAGGCAGAGGAACAGCAGAAAGCTCCAGGAGAGATGATGGACCCCCGAGAAGCAGCCCAGGCAATCTTCCCCTCCATGGCAAGAGCTCTGCAGAAGTACCTTCGCACCACCCGCCAGCAACAGTACCACAGCATGGAGAGTATCTTGCAACACTTGTCCTTCTGCATCACCAATAACATGACACCAAAGGTAATGCTCTCTCTAACACCGGTGCAGGAAGGAGGGAGAAAGGGATGGCGCATCTGTGTGTGCGTGCAGAACAGAAAATTGTTGAGGGAGGTGATTGGAGGTTTTCATAGTTGCTGTCTGTGACATGGTCAGTGTGTTGTAGGTGGCATCAGGGAAGTAATGTTTCCTCTACAACATCATCTGTCTATCTGAAAGTGCCGATGAGGTAATTGTTCTTGTATCCAGTTCAGCAAAGGGAGTACCAAAGAAGTGTCCGAGATGGTGGCCTTGAGTTACAGGGTATTCTCCCAGCTGGCTCATGGTAGCAGTATGATGCAGGTGCCAATCTGCAAAGGACCATTTTTGGGGGGTTTTTTGTCCCCTCTGCAGTGCTACATTTTGGATTGCTTCTAATTATCGCCTAAATCCCTGTCTGTCTGACAGTGTGTGTTTCTAATTCGTGAGCCACTTGCTCAAATGTCAGTTGGCTGCTTCACACCCTGACTGTGACTGTTGACTTGCAGACACAGGGAGGGACTGAATGATGAAGGAAACAGGTCACACGATCCCTCTCCCACTTTCCACCTTCCTCTCTAAAAACACCTGGCAATCCTAGAGAAGGGTTAGAAATACGAGAATTTACTCCTGGGTGTTTACCCAGGACTTACTACACTAAGAGCAGAAATGCTGTCAAGAGATGGGCTTAGCACCCTCTCACTGGGATCCACCTGGGACCTCGCCTAGGTATGCAAGGGGGAGTTCTGCTGCCATTAAGATTGCAAAGGAGACTTTGAAACACACGTGACATCAAAAGGCATTCCCTGTTCTGTTTTCAGTTTTGCAGCTTCAGTCAGGCTGCAAACATGGAAACCTCTGCTTTCCATCTTAGCTTGGCTGAAGAAGGGAGGACCAGCTATCCCATCTGCCTGTCTGGGACTGCGATTTTGGGATGGGTTATGGGGCTGGTAGGGGAGAAGTGACCTCTCCTCTACTGAACTGCTGCCAGACAGCACTACTGACAGCGGAAGTCGGGGCTATGTTTTGCAAGCTTGCTGTGATGGACTGAAAGAGTCCTGGTGGTTGTCTGCTCCTGGGGTCTGAAAAAGGTGGCAGGGACTGGGGAGAGGATGTGTCCCGAAGCGCAGAAGCTGAAACCATTTGCAGCGTGTCAAGCCCGTGCTCGAAGAGCTGTAGCTGGGCATGAGAAGAGAGCATCAACGCAGAGCAAGTTGCAGGGCCGGCACTAATGTGTGTCTCTTTCTCGTTTTTTTCCTGGAGCGTTACCTCAACCCAGGCCCAACCCTCCAGTACGACAGGGATCGCTGGTTCTCCAAGCAGTGGACGCTTGTCAGTGAGGAAGCGGTCACAAGCGGGTTACAAGACGGCGTTGTTTTTGTCCTCAAGTGCTTGGACTTCAGCCTTGTTGTTAATGTGAAGAAAATCCCCTTCATCAAACTCTCGGAAGAGTTCATAGACCCTAAATCTCATAAATTTGTCCTCCGCTTACAGTCTGAAACTTCAGTCTAAGGGATTTTGAGGGTGGGTTGTTAGGGGATTTTTTTTTTTTTCAATATTGTGCTTTTGGGTTTAATTTCCCCAACGCTGACTGAAACTGGCAGATGATGGACCAGTAATATTTGACCATCTGCACTTTATTTGGAAAGGGGAGGGGGGAGTTGGGATATCTTATCTAGAAAGAAGTATCTTAAGAGGCAACAGGGTGACTTGGCTCGGTTAGCTCAGCCTTGGAGACAGAACAGATTTTTTTTCTTTCCCTCCCCTTTTCCAGGCATACTGTAAATTTCACGCTCTCTCTTTCTCCACACAATTGTAAAGTTGGTATTTTTGTTGGAGTGCTACGCCATGCGTGTGCCTGTGCTTTTGTGTATCTGCTTTTGCTACCTGTAGCTGTGTCTGAGAGCGAGTTGCTCACCTCGCCACTATAGAAACCTGTTTGCGCAGGGGGATTTGCAGTCCCTGCTCACTCGGGGAGGAGAGGGTATCAAAGGGTGGGTGTGAGAGGGCTACTTCTGTGAGCCACCTAATCTGGAGACTGAAGAGTTTTACTTTTCCTCCTCTCCATGTGCCCTCTTCTGTCAGTGCTGGACCCATACGAGCATAGTAGGATGGTTTTGGTCTCTGTGTCTCTGAAGTTGCTTGTCTTGAACTGGATCAGCCCATCTTGTAGCTCTTCAATTTTTTTATTTTTTACCAGTGCTTGTTAGTGAAGCTGTTCTGCATGGCACAGCTCACTGTTATCTCTCACCTGCTTCCCTCTCTCCTGCTCACCTGCATCTGTCTCGGGCACTCCCAAGGCTCCCTGTTTCTGTCCCTTTCTGTCTGGCTTTCCGAATGTGTTTCTCCAGCCACAGTCCCCTCGGGGTCTGCCTTACCAACGCTTCCTTTTGCACCTGCAAGGGCTGCGTATTTGCACTGGGATGGGGCAGGTAAGTAGCTGGCTCCTCCTCAGATAAATCATGGACCCTTCCTATGTCTGACAGCCCCTTTGAGGGGAAGAGGGGTGCAGGCAGGAATGTGCCCCTCCCTCTCCAGCCAGCTTCCAAGTGCATTTAGAGGAAATACGGGCAAAAGCACTTCCCTCCTTGAGGAGTGGAGCCAGGGAAGGGCTGACCTCTGCCACATGCACTTGCTTTGGAGAACTGCTGTGCTCTGGAAACACTGCAGTGTGTCCTTCCCCACTGTGCGCCTTCAGCTATAGCTAAGAAATACCAAACTATGTCTGAATGTTGAAAATCTGCCTGCCTTTCTTGGCCTGTCTGTACTGCAGGAGTTCCTGCTCGATGCCGGGATCCGCTCCTGCGAGAGATGCATAGCTCTTAAATTGCAGTTTGGTTTGTAAAGCTGCCTTTCCCCATCAGTGCAGCTCTTGTGTGTGACTTTTGTTGTCTGCAGATTTGCAGAGTTTTGAAAGGTTTGCTTTTAATGATGAGCCTAAACCAGTGTCTGAGGCCTGATCACCCACACAGGGCATCGCATGATTCTGGAGCCAGCTCCGAGGCTGGCAGTGACCTGCCTTCAGTCAGGTCCCTCAGAGACACCCCCCCACCTCCCCGCTCTGTGGTGGTGGATTTGTGTGTGTGAATGCAAACACTCGATTCATTCTGCCCAGTCTTCTGCCATGCAAATATCTCTTGTCAGGCGGGAGCTGACCTGCACTCCGTACGGATGTCTTAACTCAGAGGGCCCCAGTTCAGCAGGGTACGTATGCCAGTGCCTTTCACTGCCAGGGTGCGTCATCTTCTGAGGGAGCCTGTGACAGCCCCTTTGGCCTTCCCCAGGCCGTCCCTGGGTTCCTTCACCAGCTCGTGGGGCTGCCCCCCACTCCCCCCAGTGCGAGGTGGCCCAGCTAAGACAAGGGAGCGGGTCTGTGCCAGTCCTGCACAGCATGGCTGGTGTGGGCTGGGCGGTGCCCCCCATGAGCCAGTGGGAGGGGGCAGCCGCCTTAATCAGCAGGGTCCAGCCTCTTCCAGCTTCGACAGCAATGGAGCTGCCCATTCAACAGCACTCTTGGGATCAAGGGAGCACCCTGGTGAGGGATGGGGAATTGCCACTTTGGACCCCCGAAGTGACACCTGCAGCCTCCTGCACCTTTCTTACAAGAGCATGGTGGTCACCTGGATGCTGTCTTCTCCGTGTAATGTGCCAGACGTGGTGGTGAAGAAAATAGATGGCATGGTACATGATGGGATTAGGCCCGTGTCCCTTAAAGGATGGGAAGTAGGTAGAGTTTTCCATTCTCTAAACTTAGTTTTTGGGTTTCTTTCTAAGTCAGGCTTTCTGGTAGTCTGTACGGGGACTTCGACTGGGGCCTTCACAGTATTTTATTTTGAAAAAGTAGATTATTTCCTCCTTAAAAAAAAAAGGGGGGTGGGGAACATATGGTATCTCACACATGGCTCTCCTAAAGACGCGTGTGTCTGCCTCTTATGAGGTGCATTACCAGTGAGGTGGGAGAGACTGGGAGTAGCTTGGGAGACTATGGAGCACTTACACCTGTGTGGAGGCTACTGCCTGTGGCTGAACTGGCTTGTTTCTGTGAAGCCAGAACAAGAACCACCTTGCCAGGGGTTTGGGTGTGCCATGTGTGTGAGAGCACCTTCTCTCGGGCACCTCTGCAAAACTTTCTTTTCCCAGGATTTCCTTCCCCTTTTCCCTCCCCCTTCGAGGGGGGGGTTGTCTGACAGTATCTGCTCAGGAAACTCATGTCTTAATTACGTTAAATCCTTGAGCACATGGAGAACCAGACGGAAGCAGCGTGTGCTCACTCTGGGTCTGCTGCCTCATCTGTGTGCTGTGGTTCAGCGCTGCCTTTTCTGCCTGCTGCCGAAAAGGACGCTGTCAATGGGGGCCGACTCCTGCCTTGAACACTCTTCCCTGCGTCAGCAACGCGAGTGCTTTGCCTGATGAAATCTGAAGGAGAGAACTTGGCCTCTCACACAGTCACTTTAGAGATGCTTAGGGGTGAGGGCAGATTATAAAGGGAATCGTGACTCTGGAGTATTCCCTCCTGCTGGGTTTTTTTTTTTAATGACGTTCTATTTTTCAGGGTCTCTTGTTTTCCCCTCTCTGTGCAAAATCAGGGGACCACTGTCATACCTACCTCACTGGGGTGTTGTGAGGCTAAACTCAACTTGTCATCAAGTGCTTTGAGATCCACAGATGGATCTGTGGCATCTATAGGAATTCAGATTCTTTATAAAAGTACTGAGCGGTGGGAGCAGACTGGTTTGTTTAACTCTGTTTATAGCCAGCTAATGAGTAAGAATGGAGTCACAGGGAATGAAGCTCTGATCCAAATCCTGCAGTCCTTACTTCTGCAGAGCTTGCCAAGAGCTGAGCATAAATAAGGCTTGCAGAGTTTGCCAGCCAAGCACAGGCTGTTTTCCTCCAAATGCCTCTCCTATCCTGCATTGTCTCGTTACACATTTTCTCCCTCCTCTCTCCCAGCCTGAATGCTTGTACCTGGCTGGGAGTTGGTTTTCTTTAGAATTCTAAGTGGTTTATAAGACAACTCTGTTTGTGGTGAAGTGGACAATGTTCCTTGCACTGGACATCCTTCACTAAAGGCTGAACCATTCGATGGGTGCTGTGTTGCTTAGCCAGGAGTTGTCTTGCCCCACTCCTCTTCCAAGTTGGTGTTTTTCCTGTGACTCTCAAGTATGCTGCTTGGATACTTTAAAGGCTTTGTTTTTTGGTTTTTTTTTTTTCTCTTGGATTTGTTACAGCCTAAATCCAAAGCCATGCTGAGATCTTCCCAAAACCAGATGCTGTTCCAGAGCAGATGGAAATGGCTGTGGGTTTCCACGAAGGCTGGTTTTCTCTTTCATGGCTAAAGAATGAAAGATTCAGATTTATTGCAGCTTTGAGGAGTGATGGGGCAGATATTAGACCCTTAATACCTTGCCAGTCCTGTAATTAGGCTTGGGCAAAGGTTGTCAGCACATCTCTTAGCCTCTCGTTGCCATGTGGCTGCAGCCATCCTTGTATAGGCTCTGTGGGGCTGCCCCAGGTCTCAGACTCCCTTCCCGCCCACGGGAGCAGAGCAGGCGGCACTCAGAGGCATAAACATTTTAGCACTCCTGTCCATAGCATTACCAGTCCCTGACCAAGCCCCAGTGGTCAGCTTGGGGGGCTGGGGGGGCTGCTTGCAACTACCAGTTTTCACCCTGGGGAGGGGAGACGTTGCCACCCACCCATGCCTGTAGGCAGCAGGGTAGCTGGGGTGCAATGCACCGTGCATGGAAGGGTGGTGTGATGCAGCTTGCTTGCAGAGCAAGGTCAGCTCCTGCTTCTGGGGTTGTCCCGGGTGCCTTCAAGAACAATCCCCCCTGAAGGGGAATATTGGAGGGAAAGGCAGATCTCACTTCAGCCTCTGCCAGTTATTTCTCTGACTTCTGCCTTTAAAAATTTTCTTGCCAGCAAATTCAGTCACTCCACCTCCAGCTCCCATCCTCCCCTCCCTGTGTTTTTCCCGAAGTTCCCTAGTGAGGCAGAACAAGTATCCACTGGGATGGGAGGTGCTGGGGCTGCAGCTCAGAGCTTGGGGGCAGCTTGTGATAAGGTGCAATTTTGGGGGAGGTCTGAACAAATCCCAGCCCTTACGGAGCCTCAACCTTCTCCTTTGGGACGGGGGATCTCCATGCAAAGCCTCGGGAATCAGCTGTTGCCAAGCATGCCAGAAGCTGCAGGGAAGCAGTTTCTGAAGCTTGCATAACTAGCTTTTAAAAGTCTTGTTTGAGATGTGCTCGTTTCCACTGCTTGCTGCTGAAGAAACTGGAAGGATCCATACTGTGCTAAATGTGGAAACCTAGTCAAGCCAATTTCATCTTGCTTACCAAAACTTGTAAATCTGCCCTTTTCAAAGGTAAAACAAAAGTTTTGCGATCTTTTGCAAAAATGTATTCTGGTCCCAGACTCTGCTATTCAGATGCGCTCAGTTCTGCCCTGCTGTATGAGCTGTTCACGAGATGAGTGCGCAGATGTCTGCTTTCTCATACAGCTTGTGT